AGGGCTATCCACCTGTAACTATCTGTTAATGACAAAAAACATCATTGCCGCTGTGCCTTTTCATCAAAAAATTGTAGAAGAGAACTTTTTTAATATCAAAACTTTTCGTAATTTGAAGCAAAGATCGTAACTTTTTTTTTTGAATGCTTAAGTATTCCAATATGCTACCAATTAAACATGGAACAATTTCGAAATAATGCTTAATAAAAAAGTTGAAATTCGATCTTCATCTGTTAATATCTTCTAGAAATTTTCGAAAAAAATATTTTCGATATTTTTCTGGTACTCCCCAAGGGAGCCTCTATCACCCCTTAAAAGGAAAGACGCCAATTTTGAATCACCCTGTATATTTTAATTTGGTCAACAAAAATGATTAAAAACACTTGATTATTACTTAAATTTTCCTTCGATCGAAAAGTACTTTTGTTTATCTTTATTATTTAAAAAATAAATTAATACAAATTAATTGTATCACTATTTCAATGATGGCATATATGGCATATACCCATGATCGCACAGTCTGCCATCATAGGCAGTAATATTTTTTGTTTTAATGTTTTTGTTTCTTTTTCGAATTAGACATGTCATCAAAGACTGAAGGAAAGGAAAAGCAAAGGTGGAGTGAAAATGATATGAAATTAGTAATTGAAAATGTCAGGCAGAAAAGGATGGGTTGGCAACTTGCTCCTAAGACTTTTAATGTGCTCGCCACAAGATTGCGTCGAAGATACATCACAAATTCGAACACGAAACTAGACTTAGGACTATATCACCTCGGGATGTAGAAGAATGTTTGACACAACATATTGTTGATATGGAAATAAGATTCTTCGGCATTACTTGCAAAGATTTGAGACAATTAGTATTTGAAATCGCAGAAACAAGACACCTGAAGCACAATTTCAATGTCGAAAAAAAATGGCTGGTAAAAAAGTGGGTTAAGGGATTTCTGACAAGGCACCCACGAATATTATTAAGAATATCAGAAAATGTTTCTATGGCTTACGCTCAGGCTTTCAATAAAACCAACATAACATCATACTTGTCAGCGTTGGGCGCAGCAATGTGGATGAGTCTCTATTAAGCACAGTACAATAGCGGCCACAAAGAGTATTTGCTACTAAAGGTCGCAAGCAAGTAAGTGCGCTCAGCACCGCTGAGCGTGGCAAGCACCTAACCGTGTATGTGCAATCAGCGTCATTGGGAACTTTTTTCCACCAGTTTTTAGATTTTCAAAAAAGCGGTTCAAGAATGAGTTGATGGACAATGCTCCACTAGCGAGCAAAGCTTTCTGTCAGGAAAAAGGCTAGATGACCAGTCATAAAGTTAGTCATAAAGGCCTACAAGTCCTGAAATATGCCAAAGAAAATGGAATTGTTTTGTTCTGTTGTCCTGCACATTGCACACATCGCCTCCAACCTCTCCATGTGGGAATTTTTGGGCCACTTCAAACTTACTAAGACCAAGATATTGAACTCTGGCTAACGCAAAACCCTGGACGAACTGTAACGGATTTTGAAATTTATGGATTATTGGATAATGTTTTCTCACAAGGTGCTACACTAGCAAATTCTGTTAATGCTTTTGCAAAAACATGCATAGTTCCATTTAAGCCGAATGTATTTGAGGATTGGATGTTTGCGCCATCACTAACCACTGATCAACTTATGTCCCAAGAAGGTGAAGAAAACGAGCAGGATCTCTCTCAAGATCATATAGCCGGTGAGACAGGTGAAGCTCTAAAAAAAGATTCAACAAAAGAGGACAACGCACACCAAAATGACAAAATTCAACTACCAGAAGTGGTTAACTGCGAACTTCTTCCTTGGAAAATATTAAAAATTGCATTAAAATTATATCCCCGCTTTCCGTTGCTATTGCTCGATCACAAAATATTGGGAAGCGCAAACGAGGCAAGACTGGATTAATAAACACAACCCCAGACATTGACGAATTAAAGAAAAATGAGGAAGCAAAGAAAGATAACAAAAAACAGTAATTTGCGCGAAGAGAAAAAAGTGATAGAAGAATCTTTGTTGGCTGCTTATATTGCAACGAGCTTTATTCAGTGTCACGTGCAAAAGAAATATGGATCTGTTGCCAAGTGTGTAAGTCGTGGCGCCATTGTGAATGTGCAGGAGTCGATAAGAAAATTGAACAGTTTATTTGCGATGTCTGTTTACAAATAAATAATTTTTTTAGCATACAACTTAGATATTAATGCGTGCCGGTAACATTTAGTATTAGAATTATTTTTTTTTATGTGTAAACTTTGTAAGTCAGTATTTCAATAAAAAGTTTTTAAAATAAGTCCCTTTAATCGACAAAGGTAAGATTTAGTTGACCAAAATAAGGCATGCTATTATTGGAAACCGGGTGAGCTATGATTGCATAGGTATCAAAAATAGTTTTTTTTTTCATGAATTTTTGAATTTTCAGAGCGCTGTTTGATAATCATTATTAAGAGCCACACAGTTTAAGCACGCCATCATAGGCGACGTTTCCCTAACTAAATTTAATATGTGATGGAAGGGCCCTCTCCTATCTTGAGCCAGCGTATTTCGCGATTGTTTTAATCTTAAAATTTTAAATGCATCCTAAGCGTTTCGATTTGAAAAACCCTGCCCTGATTATATAAAAGAGTCTTGCCTCATACAATAACTACTTTGAATTGGTATCCCCTTTGAGTAAAAATTAAAAGTGATTTTGATTTCAGATGCATTCGAATCCAAAGATCCATCGCAGAGCGGGACAATTAGGTTGAGCTTATCCGAGGTAAAACTTGAAAACATGTTCACGATATTAAGACATAATATCTTATTTTTCCTGATAGTTTTAATACTAACCCAAACTAACCCAAGCGGAGAGCAGATATTTTTTTCTTAACCGTCCGCACCAATCCTGGCTGATTGCGCTTCCGCGTCTCACTGCCGCGTTGCCGGTTTGATATTTCCATTGCAAACGAAATTATAACCTCAGAAAAACACGGATTCTTGTAGATTCTAGCACTTTTTTAAATCAGTGGCTGTTGCTGAAACTCATGCTAATTCCATCCTTAGTGATTTATACAATTAGTTCCCGCAGTAAAGATTCTAAGTTAACTTCTTGGAGCTTTAATAGTCCTGGATCTTGTTTGCGTTATATTGTTTTCTGCTTGCTGCCCGTGATGGACCCTAGCTTAGACGTCCTATACAGTATTTAGTATTGGAAGTTGTATTTGAACCGAAACGGCGCAGATGTTCTTGGGTGAGATATAGCTGGAATTTCGGCTGGAGCCGCTATTCGATCAAGGCCAGGCGGTTAAAAACCAAATATGTGCATAGCTTTCCTTGGAGAAGAAATCTTAGAAATAATTCAAGTTCAATTGTCTGAGATTTCAGCTTGAAGATACAACTAATGTTTAATTATATGATTGCTATTAGAGTATATGAGAGACCTGGTATCAAAAGCGGCAACATCCACCGGCTTCACTTTTGAGTAAATTGCAAAAGAATGCTATGCTTTTGTTATAGCTAATATCAAAACAAACAATTTTTAATAAAAAAAATTACAGGGAATTGTAAAGGAACTGTACCTAAAATATTTATCTGTTTTGAAAAAACATTGAAAAATGGATGGGAAATTCAGTATTTCATACTGCAGTGGGGATGGCCGCTTTGGTAGCAAAACTGTTTGAAAAAAATTCTGTAAAATTAATACCTATTATTTTGGAAAGGTTGTACTTGTAAAATAATCAAATATTCAAATTCATATTAGATAATGTAATTTACAACATATCTTCAAGCGTATTATACCAGTATAGAAGGAATTTATTCAATTAATTTGCGAGTTGCTTTTCAGTTTCATCAGCGTCTGGCAATGTCCTTTCTTTTTATTTCTAACCTGACTGTTCTGGCTCAGATATTTAATTAAAGATAAAAAGTGTTTTTTTCTTTAATTGCTTACCAACATATGGCGTAATGCACGGCTAATGTAAAATCTCCATTTCTAAAGTTACCGTTTTGCATTCTTAATAGAAAAATGCCATGTTCTAGTGGGTTTAAAGACTTCTGATATCGTTTGTTTCCAATTACATACGCTGCCGTCTTGCCCTAAAGGCATAACTGTAGCACTTTTCGAAAATAGCTCCACATAGCTTTCGGTCTGCGTTAAAACTTTTTGATATCATTGCCAATATTACCGAATACCCTAAAAAAACGGCAAAAAGGAATGGCTTGCAACTGGAAAAATAACTTCGATATTCCGGACATGTTGTTCATTTATATTTTTTTTCACATTCCTGTTTGGTTTATTTTAAACTGAGTTGTTAATGCTGCTGGTGGACTGGTTTCATTTAGATTTTTACCAAAGGTGGTTACAAAAACGACAGGGTCCAAACAATTTGTGAGCACGTGTATTTAGTACTTTTTTTACAAGATGTCTGTCTGAGAGAGAACAATTCTCCCTCTCTTCTCTACGTCAAACTAACACAGCAGCGCAACAATAATGCTCACAGTGGCGTAACAATTCGATTGATGTGATTAATAAAATTATTCTTTAAAATATCTGAGCTTTGAGTTATTAACTGGTGATTAGTTTTTTGTAATTGTGACGTTAGGATGTTAAATCTTGACGTATGATTTAAAAAGTTCATGTTTTAAATTCCCCGAAATACATGCAGCTTGAATAATGTTATTCCTACGCCTCAAGCGTTTAGACCCATTTCCCAGTTTTCAAACAATTTCGTCTTTACTACATGCCGATAATTTTCTTTTGACTTATTTTTTTCTGTTTTAGTGGTTGAAATCATCGCTAAGTTGTTGATGGTCTGACCCGGCAAACATGTACATTACTGACTGACCAGGATCTCAATGCATCGAGCATTGAGTAGTCTAATCTGCACTACGGATTATGTCTGGTGAAGACAATATTTTAATAACAATTGGGTCGAATTTTGAGACTTCTAACTATTGTCAGAATATCCTAATCTTTGTGTATAATACTGTGAATATTTAAACCCATCATTTGTACTTTTGATATGATTAAATATTTTATAAAAAGACAAGTACATTTATTCCCTCTGAAGAAGACTGTGGCAATATCTTCTAATAATTTTTGTTATGGGTAAGATCCTATATCCCAGCAAACACATCTCGGTCCCTGAGACATCCCAAGGAAGTCATTACAGGCCATAGGCCTAAGTCACTCGAACGTCTCGGTACGTCCCCAAATGTACGTGGGACGTCTATGGGACATACTTTGGGGACTGTTAGGGCCATGTATAGGAAGATCCTGTAAAGGTAATTTGGAACATCACTGGGATTATAAACGCGATGTTTAGAGAACATCTGTGAAACGTTCTTAGGTTAATAGCCAACCGTCAAAATATTGCTGGGAACAAATATGGATAAAGTAAAATTAACTTTCCAAAAACGTTGATGACAGCTTTATAATTTAGAAAATTTAAGATGGAAGCACCTTAACAGAAACAAAATACTGAACCAATAACATATACCTATATTTCAATACAATCAAAAAACATATACGGGTTGCTCATTAGTGCG